GGAAAACGTAGCGTCCCCTCTCGTGGGTCTGAAACTGCCCAAATCGAGCTGCCGGGGGAGCTTGCGGTAAGGCGCTGGCAGGTAAATTTGCTGTCCTCTCAGTGAAAGCTTCCTTAAACTCCTGGGCTCCAGACATGGGGCAGGGGGAATTTCCCTCCTTTATTTCTGTTTGGACCCTGAAAAGGGAGGGAGAGAAAATGGCAGGGGGACGCGTCCCCTCTCGTGGGTCTGAAACTGCCCAAATCGAGCTGCCGGGGGAGCTTGCGGTAAGGCGCTGGCAGGTAAATTTGCTGTCCTCTCAGTGAAAGCTTCCTTAAACTCCTGGGCTCCAGACATGGGGCAGGGGGAATTTCCCTCCTTTATTTCTGTTTGGACCCTGAAAAGGGAGGGAGAGAAAATGGCAGGGGGACTCTTTAGAGAGGAAAATTATTTCTCTTCAATAAACAGAAAGATGACAAGTTAAATATCACATACAATGGTGCCCTAAAAGTAGTTAAATGACCATTGTTCTTATCTGGCAGGAAGCACCACGAACGTGGAAGGAAGCACGCTTCCCGCCATCCATGCTGCCTGAACAAACGCCCTGGCAGCGGCACTGCCCTTTGCGGCACCTCGTGAATCGCCCAGGCTGCCCAGGACCTGCGAGGGACTTCCCTGCCACCACCGCACCCCCCACACGCTGTCCCCGCTCCTGTCCCTCGCTGCTTTGGGATTCAACTGCCACAAGGCACAGGGGATCAATCCCGGCCTGGCTCCAAGCGACCGGAAAGCTGTCATGCATCACTATCTGTCACCCCTGCTCTGACCTGACCAGGGTTAGGGTTTGATTTCCCCTCCCAGAGGGATGCTGATGTTTTTAACTGCCCTTTGACTCCCTGCTTCAGCAGGCAGCAGCGGGGAGACGCCAACCTTCCGACCCAGCGGCATGAGCGAGCAGGGCGCACGCTCTGCCAACACAGACACCTCTTCAAGACTGAACTCTGGCTTCGAGCAGCATAAATTTGTGTCCTACCCGTACCTCGTACCGCACATTACGCCACCCAGATGACACCCGTGTTCTGGTGTTAACCAGCCATTTGTCCGTCGTGCTCCCACAGCCGACGCGCCTTCCCGGCGGTGTTTTAAAAGCAGAGCGCAGCAACTCAATACGTAATGTCGGAAAAGAAATTCCACACAAATCAAGTCCAAATCACGGCTGATGAACGTGGATGTGCCCAGTGCCAAACCGCACAGCGTAGATCCCAACGTGCCCGTGTTGATCCTGGGAAAGTGCTTATTTGGGAACAGGTTTAACCGGGAGAGATCAGCCGCAGGACCACGGGCCCGACGCTGCACAAGCGGAACAAGCCTGGAGCACTGACCACGTACCCCCGTACAGCGCCCGGACGCCGGCTGGGCTGAGCATTCCCAGGGATGAGAGCTCAGCCTAAAGCAAGCAGCAGCGGCTGCACCCCACGCAGGTTCTGGCCCTCTCGGTGGTACAAGAGCGAACCACGGCTCGGACGCACGGGGCCAGAGCTGCGGCAGCAGCAGGGAGACTGCGGAGACGGGTCTGGACTAGCAGCTGGGGTGGGGGTTTATTCTGCTCGGTCATATTTGCAGCAGAAAGTCTAGAAAATCAGGTTTCAGAGGCAAGCCGCTGTGTGCCCAACTCCATACCTTTGTCAGAAGACCGTTCCCTGCACAGTATGCTGCTGGCACAGCCTGGCTTACACACGAAGAGGGTGGTAGGTCCCCTTTTCCCAGAGCATCGCAGCGTAGGATGAGAGAATCTCTGTTTAAGGTACAGCGTCTGCCCTGCAAACGCCAGCCTTCCTGGCCTTCTGTGCAGTTATAGGGTCAGGTAACTGCAGGCAAGCTCCAGGGAAACAGTACAGAAAACCAGCAGAACAACGCGCTGTGGGAATAAAGGGAGAGCCTTCACATCACCTTTGCCAAGAGGAAACAATCAGGGAATGGTTTCTCCCCTTTTCTCCTGTCTCTTACGACTGCAGAGAACGAAGGTAGAAAGTTCTCACTACCAAAGGGAAACTGAAGAACCAAGAGGAGAAAGTGGGGCATGCAGTGTGTTTTTGCTGGCCAGAGTAGCAGCCCCTTAGTGATAACCCAACGGATGAAATTGTTAATTACAGCCTGGAGCTAGGAGGACTTTCATTAGGAGTATCATGCTGGAGCCTGAGCACCTGTTCTCAACAGGAAGGCGTTCCATCTCCGAAGGACAGACTAGAATTAGCACGGCTGCAGCCTTTTACGAGGCCAGAGCACCTCTCCACTCATTAGACCTGATTAAAACTGCTCGGATCTTGTTCTCCCTGTACCGACCGGGCTTTCTCCCCAGCCTTACACATTGACTTTGCAGGAGGCTTTTGTTTCAATTTTACAACCCGTTTAACAGCTTGAATTCCTAAAGAGATCTTTTCAGAACTACAGTACACTGCCATAAAATAGTACAGTGGGAGACGCCACAGCAGCCGACTCTTCCATTGCCCCTGTGACTGCTGGCCCCTTTGTGACCGCTTCCACCCATCCCACTCCCCTCCCTCCCAGTCAAACACTCTCCAGGTCTGAGGCTTCTCAGTGCTACGCTGAAGGTCCGTAAAGAAAACTACATTAAATGTTCTTCTGGTGAGATAGAGAAAGCGCTGAAAAAGGAGACTTCTTGATGTATTAGCAGGTAGAATCACATAATGGTTTGGGTTGGAAGGGCCCTTAAAGATCATCTAGTTCCACCCCCCCTGCCATGGGCAGGGACCCCTTCCACTAGACCAGGTTGCTCCAAGCCTCATCCAGCCTGGCCTTGAAGACATCCAGGGATGGGGCATCCACAGCTTCTCTGGGCAACCTGTTCCAGTGCTTCACCACCCTCTCTGTGAAGAATTTCTTCCTGATAGCTAATCTAAACCTCCCTACTTTCAATTTAAACCCATTACCCCTTGTCCTATCACTACAGGCTCTTGTAAAAAGTCCTCTCCAGGTACTTGTGATTAGAGCTGAAGTGATGCACAAACTACCCCAACACCCCCATTTCCCACTGTTCCTGGGTACAGCAGGATGCTGCAGGCTACAGAACGACCTTGGTATAAACAAGCAGTGACCAGACTTGATAAAAGGAGGGTAATTACTGCACAGCTCCTGGCTATCAAACTATTCTAGAGAACTGGCAACATTTTATTTCCCCTAATGGTCACAAGAACATTTGCTCCTGAAGGTTTTTGGAATGATCTGGCAGGTAAAGCATCAGACTGGAGCCAAGAGGAGGAGCTCCATAATGGGTTTTTAACTTACCTGCGGCGACCTTCACACGCTTGCGGTCTCGCTTACCCTTTCATCAATACTTGATATTCATTCCTCAGAGCCCAGACTCTGCGACACGGCGAGACCTGTCAGCACTCTCAGAACAAGTCAGCAGAAAAATTGGAGTTAAATAAGTGGTTTTACTTCTAAGTGTCACCGTGCCAGACTCGTAACCCCAGCTACCAGCAGAACATACAGAGGATAGTCAACACAGAGGAACTCAAGCACCTGGAAATTATCAGCCAGTACCGTGCAGCCAGAAAGTCCTTCTTACACGGTTTAACCCTTGTACAAAGGGTAACACCACCTCAAAAAGATGCATTTTGGTCAACAATACGGTTACACAGGGCTACCAACTACTGGCACAGGCTCACCATTTAAACCTGGCCAGCAGCTATCTCCCCTTCCCACATCAGCCTCTTGCTGAAAACTGTCCAGAAAATGAGGGAGCATTAATGTGCCAGCTTGAATATATATTTAATAACTTCACACAGATTTGAGACATGGCCATGTCGCGTTTGAATAAGCTCTGAATCCATGTCAAGAGAGAAGCAAACAGAACCCAGATACTGATGGCCTACAACTCACTGACATAACTGAACACATTTACAGGAACAGTGAAGGAATGGCTGAGAGCTGTACATTCCACCTGAAGCTCAGACGTTACTACCGGCAGCCCCAGTGCACTTATTCCGCTACTACCCATTGATGCGGTAATTCACATGGATTTCGGGTTTGATGTCACACACCAGTGACAACAGCTGGGCAAGGACCACCTCACGGTTCTTCTGGAAGTTCTGCTGGATCACGCTCATCTTTTCCTGGGTCTCTTTCTCAACTTCCGTGGTGCAGCTGCCGTGAGATCCAAGTGCCTACAAACAGCAAAGGAAAGAGAAAGCTCACACACGAGTAGTTTGACAAGAAAACGCTACGGCTAGCTCTGTACTTCGTTACCTATTTTGACTGCCTCACTGCACCTCAATCACTAATCTTCGCTGAGAGCTGCACTTAAACATTCCCTGGATTCTCTGCTCAGATTCACCACTAAACTTGCCCAAGTTTGCATTCCATCCACAGCCCATGTCTTTTGTCCTCTTATTCATTAGTTACCAGTTTAGAGCACAAGCATCTACAGCGTGCGTGAAATAAAGGTCCTGCTGTACTGGCAACTGGAGCTGGGAACCCCTGGGCACTACTCTACTAGTATAGTGCAAGATTTAGTCATCCCATTGCTCATATCCTTGGAGAATCTTTATGAAAATCTCCCTCACAGGACTGCAAGGAGACTCTCACAAGTTATAAAGTCCTTCCAGCCCCATAATCAAGGGCAGAGAGAACAAACTCCATTATAAGCAGGGTGGGGGAAAGGCACAGATGTATGCTGAAGGAGAGCAGTACCCTGCTCATAGAATGACAGAATCACAGAACGGTTTGGGTTGGAAGGGACCTTAAGGACCACTCAGTCCCACCCCCTGCTATGGGCAGGGACACCTTCCACTAGACCAGGTTGCTCCAAGCCTCATCCAGCCTGGCCTTGGACACTTCCAGGGATGGGGCATCCACAGCTTCTCTGGGCAACCTGTCCCAGTGCTTCACCACCCTCTCTGGGAAGAGGAGAGGGTGGTGAAGAAAAATTCAGATTGTTTCTCTTTCTGAAGAAAGATAAATAGAGCAGAATGAGCTGACAGGCAGTGAAGTCCACCATATCAGCCTGCGTTGCCTGGTATCAGTTAGTGAGCCAAGCTAACGAGACTGTCAAAATTTGACCTTGACTCACTGACACAAAGGCTATTATGCAGGAGAACAGTGTAGGTGGCATTGTGCTAACCAGAAGATAGGCAGAGGGGAGGGTTGCCAGGTCATTTTCTGATGATTTCAGAACTGAGAAGGCACAGAGACAGTGGAAAGAGCCTGCCTGCACCACAGCCCTCAGCTAGTGAGGGGCCCCAGCCCTGCACCTTTTGGCAATGCCTCCCCTTGCAGAGAAGGCAAGGGAAACACACCCCTTGGGACACAGCAGGCAAGACTGCTAAGCAGAACACAAGCCTTACAAGTGCTTCAGTAAGAGAGCAGCACCTATGAGGCGAGTGCTTTCTACCACACTGGCGTAGAAACCAGCCTGCCGCAGGAGGGATGCAGTTGGCCGCCTTTTTTGACACTGCTACATACAGCCGGATTGGAGAGGCTGCCTCCCTTCAGGGCACCAGCTGACACATGAGCTCATTAAGCCAATTCACTGCTAGTCAATAGTTCCAGCTGTTGAGATGCAGCAAATCATGTTCTGATTCACTTCCACTGGTTTTTCCATGACACGTGGCTGTGCACTGGGGGAGGCGGTTAGGGAAGTATTCCTCTGGCAACATGTTCCACCCTGAGGGTTGCACTCAGGGCAGGTCACCCCAAACGCAAGGCTAAGGGACTGGGTAGGTAACAGTGAGTGATCTAGAGAACACACCGCTGCTTCCTTGGCTTTGAACTCCTTCTCCCTCTGCAGGCGGTACTGCTCAATCTCTGCCTGGGCTTCTTCTTTGGCCTGCTTCAGCCTCCGATTCTTTCCTGTTTCCAAAGAAAATGAAATAAAGAAAAGGAAGCATTGAGAGCATATTCTCCCACACCACTCCAGCTACCCGGTGCAATCACTGTAGGATTTGCTATCGCAGCCGGTCCTTCTGCGGGAGGCATCAGCAGGGCACCGCACACCCTCGCAGCCCTCCAGCTCCGCAGCGTTAGCCGAGCTCGGGAGCACGAGGTCACCCTGCGTGCCAGCGATCCCTCACCAAGCTCACCACATAGCCAGCTTCCACCAGCATGAACTGGAGAGGTTCTTCGAGCCCAGGGATGCATCAGACAACTTGCAGGTCTGGCCCTGCTCATGTGAGCGTGTAACATCTCTGAGCAATCCCAAAGAGCGCAGCAGAAACAACAAGTTTTAGTTTTGCTTCGGGCTAATTGTGCAATGAACAGAAAAACTGGCTACTGCATCGACTTCCCCTCTTGGACTTTCCACCACATCCTCCCCTCTGAGGGAGGCGATCATTAGGGTGAACTACAACAATCTACTTCTCGCAACACTGTTGGGGTAGAACTGCAAAACAGGGCGGCTGCATTTAAAAACAGAATTTATATATATATATATACACACATATATGCTTGTAACAGAAAAGGTGGGGATCTTTTCAAGCAGAATTTCTCTCACTTAACGGAAAGGGCAAACTTGGATCCCCAAGAAGCAGCGGACTCAGCTCTATAAAACGTCTAATTGACAGGGAAATGAAGTTTTCATCACAAAGCAAGGCAGGAGAGATGCAGAGAAGCAGAAGCATCGCCCAGCTGCAGGCCCTGCGGCCATCAGGGCTCTGACGGCGGTTCCCTCCTGGGGAGCGGCCCCACTGGGCAGGGGTCACCCAGCGTCCCCCAGGCCTGTGCAGGCCTGGCCGG